GCCTCACAAGCAGGGCATTGGTAGCGCCGGGGGGGGCAGCAGACCCCCCTTCCAGCCGCTCAATCCGGCTGACAGCTGCCACCAGTTCTTGCTTAATCTTGTCAATGTCCCCGGTGGCCGCATGGAGCTGCTTGGAGAGATCCTTCTTGACGTCTTGAACCACCGCTGCCATTCTCCCTTCACTCCGTCCCACTGCTTCATCCACATCTTTTTTGCAGTGCCTCCGCAGATCTTCCGTCTGTTCCGCCAGGAGCGCCTTCAGCATAGAGACCGTCAAGACCTCAGACCCACTAGTCTTCTTGGCCGGAGAGGACCCTTCAGCAGGCACCTCCTTTCTTTTGCTCCCAGCACCTCCAAGCCTGGAACTCGGCGCCCCATCTTCATCAACCTCAAGAGGCTTGTCGACGTCGATTGCCTGCCCTGGCAGGACTCCATTGGTTGCCATGTTCCTTTTGCCGGGGTGTTCTCGTCCCGAAACTGGTAGTGGCGCAGCACCTCTGGCTCGTGCTCCCGCCGACCGGGGTGATGGCGCAGTGAATCAGGCACCGCAACAGGAGGACGGAGGCAGCAGCTCAGCAGCAGGCCCGCGCGCACGAAGCCATGGCTCAAGCTCTGCTTTAGGGAAGCTGGGGCTTGATTTAGGGTTTAGGGTTGAGGATTTTGGATGTAGGGTTTAGGGTGTAGGGATTTTGGATTTTGGGCTTAGGGTTGAGAGGTTTGGCATTTAGGGTTTAGGGGTTTAAGGGTTTTGGATTTAGGGTTAGGGTTTAGGCGTTTTTGCTGTTTTTTTTGCGGGACCTTTTCTCCACAGCCCGGAGGATCCATGGAAATGTCTTACGACATGGCCCTGAGAAGTCCACACATCAGGAGACCAGCCCCGCATGTTCGCCATCCTCTTCTAGTTGAACGGCAGAATAGACTGGAAGCGCTGCTCGCGGTCTTCAGGGACAGGGCTGAGCAGGTGGATGCGGAGGAAAGAGAATGGTGTCAACAGAGATGGGCCTTGCTGGCTCCCTTCTTGGACACCACTGTGGGCAGAGAAGCTGGGAAGCCAGTGGGGATAGCCAGGAGAGGGTGGAGGAAGAGGCAAGCCAGGTCCAAATAGCGAGGCTGCACAACGGGACTACCAGACCCCTTACGGACCAGGAGGCGAATGCCATGCTGATGGCGGAGCTGGTGGAGGAGGAGGCGGCTGAAATGGAGAGGGAAAGAGAATATGATCAATGGCAAAGGTATGAGGGTGGTCAATGCACGCCGTGGGAAGTATGGGCGAGATCTGCCGAAGCGAAGGACAAGCAGTGAAAAGGGCTAGGGTGCACATCCGCATACAAGGAGAGCATGGTCGTGTTGTCAGAGAGGAAAACTATCTTGTACCAGTCCGGGACGGAGAACAGCTTGCATATGAGGTGAGAGTTCAACCCAGCACGCCTCAGTCGGAGATGGGCGCCTATGCTGAAGAAGCTCTGAGGGGGCAAGCCATGAACGAGGGCGATGCGCAAGACCAGGGAGGCCAGTCGGCAGGTGCCAGTTCCTCAACCTCGCCTCTAATGGGAAATGCGAATGAGAATGAGGGCATGCTGGATTTGCAGATCTGGAGTACCCAGCAACAGACAGGAAGGCAAGACAAAGGTCACATCGATCCGGAGGAGTTCGCAGCTACACCGATTGGGAAGAAGTTCTACCAGGAGTGGAAAGCAGGTAGAGTTGGTCCCCAGGTGATTGGCAGTCGCTTCGGGTGTGCTTGGCAAATTTGCTGGAATGGTTGAAGATGAAAAGGAGAAGGAAGAGAAAGAGCAGGAAAGGCAGCGCAACGCACAAGAAGGTCGACGTGATGAAGGTGCTGCGGCCGCTGATACGCAGATGGATCGTGATGGACCAGGAGTAGGTGAAACTGGTGGCGACGCTCAAGCGCATGGTGAAGGGCGTGTTGAGGGTTTGGCTGAGCAGCGGCGAGCCAATGGATGCTGCTACTGAAGGTGGGGGCGTTCTGTATGAAGTGCCGCCAGCGTGGAATGCGGTGCTCCACGCCTGGAATGATCCGTCGCTGGGCGTCGGTGGTGAATGCTGGAAATGCTGCAGGTGAAGAGAGTCTGGCTGGACCATCTGGTGGAATGGCTGAAGCTGGAGCTGCACCATATGAAGTACCGCCGGCATGGAACGTCGTGCTCGATGCCTGGAATGACCCGTCGCTGGGCGTTGGATTGGTGGCTGTGACTGCTGGAAATGCTGATGGGGAAGGAGGAAGAAATGGACAGTCTGGAGTAGGCGCTGGTAGTGGGCATGGTGGACGAGATCGAGGGTGATGGCCAGTCAACTGAGGTGGCTACTGAGAGCGCTGGTAGTGTGAATACTGTCCAAACTACTCTGACAGAGTGGTTGAGACGTGGTTGATTGTCACTAGGCTAAGTTTGAGCACACGCCTGCATGCTGCCTGTAATTTTTCTGGAAGTCTTCCGTAGGGTCAAGTGGTGTGCTGCTCTGCTGGGTTTAGGCGTTTTGGGGTTTTGGATTTAGGGTTTAAGGTTTGGGGATTTTGGATTTAGGGTTTAGGGTTTAGGGGTTTTGGATTTTGGGTTTAGGGTTGAGGGGTTTGGGATTTAGGCTTTAGGGCTTAGGGGGTTTTGGGTTTTGGATTTAGGGTTAGGGTTTAGGGGTTTTGGATTTTGGGTTTAAGGCTTGAGGATTTTGGATTTAGGGTTTAGGGTTTAGGGATTAGGGGTTTTGGATTTTTGGTTTAGGGTTGAGTGGTTTGGAATTTTGGGTGCAGGGTTGAGAGGTTTGGGATTCAGGGTTTCAGGGTCTTGGCGTTTTGGGATTTTAGATTTTGGATTTAGGGTTTTGGGGTTAGGGATTAGGGTTTAGGGGTTCTGGATTTAGGGTTTAAGGTTTAGGGGTTTTGGATTTAGGGTTTAGGGGTCTTGGATTTAAGGTTTAGGATTTAGGGGTTTTGGATTTAAGGTTTAGGGTTTAGGGGCTTGCTGTGAGTTATCGTATCAGCAGTGATGATCAGGTTTCAACGACCCTTCCAGCGCATGGCTGCATGTGAGGTGCTGCCATTGCCTGACTGTGGATGGCCATCTAACACATTCACCCACCCCACGCTGCATTTTGGTCAACAGCATAAATTCATCTTTATGGTATGTTGTCGTTTCTGAAATGGATGTGAAGCCCGCTGGCACGCCGCTCTAAGGCCACTGATGGGTGGGAGCCGGGAAGCCTACCTAGGCTGGCTGGGAAAGATGGAAGCTGAGGTTGGGAAGCCCTGGGAGAGGCTCTTGGCAAACCCGTTGGAATGTTTTTGAGGGCTCTCAGGTCCCGAAATTCGTGGAGGAGGGTCTGGGGGTCTGGGACACCAGCCAGCCACCCAGAAAGGCTAGGGTTTAGGATATTGACTTCATTAAGCAACCAGTACTGACTTTATTACGCAACCAGTACTGGTTGCAAGGAGAACTCCTTCCGGTCCCGGGCCGCCGCAACCGTGGCTACGTTTTGGATTTAGGGATTTGGGACTTTGGATTTAAGGTTTAGGGTTTAAAGATTCTGGATTCAGGGTTTAGGGTTGAGGGGTTTTGGGTTCAGGGTTTCGTGTTTAGGGGCTTTGGATTTGGGGTTTAATGTTTAGGGGTTTGGGATTTAGAGTTTATGGTTTTGGGTTTAGGATTGCTTAGGGTTTAAGGTTGTGTAAGGCTTAGGGTTGCTTAGGAATTATGATTGCTTAGGGTTTAGGATTTAGGGTTGTTTAGGGTTAAGGATTTAGGGCTGTTTAGAGTTTGGGGTTGTTTAGGGTTTAGGGTTGTTTAGGATTGACGATTTAGTGCTGTTTAGGGTTAAGGGTTGTTAAGGGTTTGGGGTTTTGGATTTTGGGTTTAGGGGTTTTGGGTTTGGGATTTAGGGTTCAGGGTTTAGGGGTTTTGGATTTAGGGTTTAAGGTTTAAGGATTTTGGATTTTGGGTTTAGGGTTGAGTGGTTTGGGATTTATGGTTTAGGGTTGAGGGGTTTTGGTGCTTTGGATTTAAGGTTTAGGGTGTAGGGGTTTTGGATTTAGGGTTTAGGATTTAGGGTTTAGGATTGACGTGTTTTGGATATAGGGTTTATGGTTTAGGGTTGTTTAGGGTTTAGGATTTGGGGTTGTTTAGGGTTTAGGATTTAGGGCTGTTGAGGGTTTTGGGTAGCTTTGTTTGCATGGCGCGCCCCTTCCTCACAGCCATGCGTTTAAGGTTGCCGGCGCAAGTCGTGTCAAGGCTTAAATTACGAGTTCAAGGTTTCAAGCCTCTGGTCTCAAGGTTTTGGCAGCTTGCGGTTAAGGATCTGCAAGTTTCAAGCATTCTGGGATTTGAAGCTTAGGTCTTGGGTCTTGAGAACCTTGCTGAGGACACCCCCGAGGACGGCATAATCTTACTGACTATTCCGGACTACGGTATCCCCTTTAGAACCACTATTAAAATGTCTGACCCCCAAAACCCTCAACCCCAGGCAATGAAGCATTGAAGCCCTAGCCCTTCCAATCCCCCAATGATGACGAGGAAACAACGCTTGCCACACATGTTGTCGGCTTTTGTCGTTGCATCATTTCTGCTGAATCTGCCAACGAAACTTGGCCCTTTTCTTGCATCCGTGCTTCTCCCTGCTGTGACTCCTTCTAGCATAGTTTCCAGGCTGATGGTATCAGAGTCTAGGATTTGCTGTAATAAGGGTTAGCGGCTATGAAGTTGGACGCCCATCGGGCTTCAGGCTTGAGGACTTTGGGGTTTCGCGCTTTTGCAGCCCGCTCTTTCCAGTAGTGGCCGTCCCGAATGTAACTTAATAAGCTACCACAGCTTGAAAGCAACCAACTTAGTGAACTTCAACGTGATTTTGGCTTAACCACATATTGCCGTGGATATACAGAACACGCCCAACCCACAGGCGCAAAACTCAAACAGGTCATGGTCGCCGAAATGCCAGCCTTCTCATTTGCTTTGCTAGAACGTCCTGTAGCCTGAGGCAACTTAGCCTTGTGCGCACTCCAATATCTGGTGCCTTTCACGGGAGCTTCTCCGCCGCTGCCTCAACGCTAAGAGACAAGGGAACCTGGCTTCTTCTGCTGCCGCAGTGCCTCTCAACTTCTTCGAGTGCTTCCTTCGCAGTCCGCCCGGAAGCCTGGGAGGTGTCGCGAGCTTAGTTCTTAAAGCATCTTATTGACCAACATGGTGTCTGACGTCCAGCACCATGGAACCATGAACAGGCCGGCCTGCTGGAGCTGCGCATAAGCTAGAGATCAAGAGATCAAGAGGTTGCCATGGTGAAGGCACGCCTTTCGCAGGCTTGTTGTCCGCTTTGACATGCCTGGGTCACTGCAGCTGCTGGAGCTGACATGGATAATCTAAAGGGATGTGTGGGCTCAAACGCAGGGTAGTCACCAGGATGTGCTCGCTCCAATACCTTTTTGCGCTGCTGTTGGCCATCGATGGCTTGCCAAGAAGCCTTGATGGAATTGAGCATCCGGCCTTCTCCATCTGCATCCAATACTGCAAATCCTGGACAGGAATCTGGTTCTGCATTGGGCTTTGATCGGTGTACACGGGCTTGGAAATGATGCCACCTATCCTCAAAGAACTGATTGGTGAGCGGGTACCTTCAGCTTCGTCGTGCGTTAGACAAACACGTCTGGTGGGGAACCTTGGAGCCCGACACATGCGGCTCGAGGATGCCAGCCCTCAGCCAAGAAGATCCAGATCACAAAAGTAAGTTGAAAGTTGAAGACTTCTCGTGCATCCAATCAGCCAGTTGCCACCGGTTCCTGCGATCTGCTCTTCAGGGGACCCTGTTCAACGCAGGCCCAATGCTGCAGGTATGACAATTGCAACGGTCGAACCTGCAGTGTTCAAGAAGCGTGGCATGGATGTAGGAGACACGGACCTGTGATTGCTGGTGGTCAGCAGCCATGTCAACACATCGTCGTCATAATCGCATAAAAGCTGCAACTGATCCACACCATCATCCTGCTTGCCTCAACCATGTTGAGCGCTGTTGAGGAATGCTGTGGCAAGCGGCGTCCCAAACCAAGGCCGGAACTGCAGTTGATCGATTTCATCCAATCGCGCGTGCTGGCGCAAAGGCATCAAATTCCCACCACATGTTCCATACACTTCTGGTGCGGCATCATGGGCATGACACCGGTGCCTTTTGTCCAGCCTGGGTTTAACTTCACGCAACACTGCAAACTGGTCATGCTGTGTATCAATCTGTGCTTCCAGCTCCGTGTCTGCACCGACGTCCTGAAGAGCTCGGCAATAGCTTTTTTGCAGTCTGGAGTAACCCTTACAGAACCACAGCCACAACACAGACACAGCCTGCTTGACGATTCGAAGCCTCTGCGCCCGACACATGGACAAGGTGTCCTGTCTCCAAGCCTGAAAGCCGCGGGGCACCACAGGCAAGAACACAGCCCCAGAAACAATTTGCGACAACTGCTCCAGCAAGAAGCCATGCACCTCGAAAAAGTCGTGGTGCAACTGCATAATCCTTCTGTCCAGGTCCGGCCTTTGAATCAAACGCCCAAGCAAAAATGACGAGTCAGTATCTGTAAGGGAGTGAGCTCAGCTTTCGCCGCCTTTTGTTTCAGTGCGCTGCCAACGTTCCAGGTCTTGCCAATCCATTGCCGCACATTTATGTAAAATTCGTTCAGCTCGTTCATGCGGCATCCTTTTCTGGGTGGAGTCACTTGATTTTGATGTGGGGACATTTGCCGCCACTGCCTGCGCATGGTGGGAATCTGGATGAGCTGGAGTCACATTCTCTGAACCCCTCCTTCGTGGGGCATTTCTTACGGGGACATTCGTTTGAAGCACTTTCAGTTTTACGTGGTCATGGCTTGTGGCCCTTCTTCTTCGCAGTGACCTCAGCGGCCTTGAACAGCAGTTCACCGTGCCTCTGCCCTGATGCGGCCGGTCAACTTTGCACAGCGCAATCGTCAAACTCTGCTCAGAAAAGCTGAGCTGAGCTCGCGTACCCCGCGATGTGTCGTGTACGTTTTGACGTAGCAGCCAAAATCAATGCAGAGGTGCGGTCGCCGCTCTTCTGGGTTCATAACGGGCATGCAGATCAGAGCTGCAGCGTCTTCCGGCTGAAACCAGGTGTGCCATGGCAGCACTGCATGCAAATGGGCTAATTCGCCTTCCAATTTCCGCAGTCGCTTGTCGTAGTTCTGCACAGACTCGCGCTCTACGCACTCGTCGTTCAACACCAAAGTCTTTGCGGACTTTTCCTTCAACTCGGGCTCTTTCTACCATCCTTTCCCAGTTCCCATCTGCCAAGCAAGACTCTCGCGCTTGCACCATGGACTGCGGAATCTGGGAAGGCAGTTGCCTTGCGTTTTAGAGTAGCGTGGAGTTGGCCGATTGGTGGACTTATTCCCATGCAACGCTCCATGTTCGGGCAACAGTTTGACAATTTCTGCACGGTCTCTCCAAATGGCAAAAACAATGCCGTCTTGTTCCATTCATCTCTCGCAAAAAACACAGGCCCAAGATCCAGAACGTACTTCGCTATGGCCAGATTACCTCCTGATAGAAGATGGGCCTCTGGCGATTTTTTGTCGACCTGTGCCAGGCAAACTCCCTTCCGAACACGCATCTTTGCCAACAGCTCTAATCCACGTCGCATCCGAGCTGTGCAGAAAAACAAAACATTCTGGATCAGAGGACTGTGGCACCAAGCCTTTTTTTTTCTAACCCTTGCCTGGCTTCCACCTACTCTCCATAGCGCAGTTTCAAATAAGGTGGTTGCGATTCATGGGCATGTTCACTTCAGATGTTGAGAGGCCAGATTGTTGCTTCAAGTGTTTCATATGATGACACAGACAGACGGGCAGATTCCTGTGGATTCGGAGAAGTAAGGCTCTCCACTTACAGGTTTGCAGAGGTTCGCATCAGGTCAGTGCTGGTAGGGGTGCACTTTAGCTTCACCAGCTTACATGCTCTTCTGCCTGGGATCAGGGACGAAAAGCCTCAATCTCAGAATGCCTACAGGCAAGACTCGGCCGTGCACAGTCGCAGTCAGGATCTTATACTCTCAATGACCTCTTTGAGCATCACATCGCCTCTTTGAGCACTTTACGTTTACTAGGACGTGAGATCCGACCCATGCTTTCAAATGTTCCAGCCCAGTCGCTGGACTTCATCAATCAAGCCCTCTGAATTTGGTTTAATCAAACCCCACAGATTCTGTGTCGACTCAACCCCTTTTGATACTTTATGCAGCCCGACCCATGAAAGTGTCTTCCAACATTGCGTGATCCATGGCACGTTGCAAAGACTCAGATGTGGGCTCCCAGAAGCACTCTGCCGGAGCATAATACAACTCCTTGTCACACGGGCACTTCAGTAGAGACCAATTGTGCCGCCCATAGCTAAGGCAATGACATCAGCTGAGACACCCTGCAGTTCCAGTGCGCGCAGCCTTGATTCGCAGGCATGTTGCAACACTTGGGCTGGGACTTGTCAAAGCGGAACTCCCAAACTGTGCACCGTACGAGCGAGGTGACAAAACTTCCACATTCTCATCGTATCCTTACAATGCTTAACAATACAGCGCCGAGAGTTCTGCTAGGTAGCAACACAAAACACTCTGAGAGGGTGACCATCGAACTCTTCTAGGTTTGTCAATGGTACCCCCTGTATACGCGAACAACACTGTGCTTTTCTGAGAAATATCTGGTTGATTCATGCCTCTGACGGTGCAGACAACGGTGGTCCCTCGTAAAGCAGTTCCCGCCTTTCAGCCCGAAGGGATCCAAAGGAAGCATGATCCAGCACCGATTTTGAACACACAGATCCTCGTGCCAATCTTCTGCGCGTCATGCATCTTGACCGTGGCCTGGCAAACTAACAACCAGAATGGGCAAACGCTGCCAACGTTAGATTTCCCAAGCCCACACCACGGACAACATGCGTCCAAAGTTGCCCACCAGAAGCTCAAGACTTGCCAGCAGGACACCATTTGGCATCTGTTTCAGAAACTGCCCATCCGTGGCGATCTGATGCATGATAAGATGCGGGACAAAAGCAACATCGCCCTGATGTGCACATCGCGCCTCTGGACGGTCAAACATGTCGGCAAGAACCTTTCCCGTCCGGATGCTGCGTCTTTGGAGGCAGAACACATGCGAAAACCATGCCTTCTTAATGTCGCCAAGTGGTGAGGAACGATCCACAGTCACTTGAACCGCCTTCTCAGCTTCTGAATGATGAAAAAAGCCAGTGGCTAAGTGCTTGCCTCATTGCTTGGCAAGGCCCGAATGGAAACCGTCGTTTCCCCTTGTTCCTTCAGCTTGGGCTTTCAATCATGCTGAAAGCACGGGTAAATGCATGAGGGCCTGCATCGCAACCTCAGCTACAGCTTGGATCAAGTGAGCTAATCTTCTCCGCTGCAAGAGGCCCACGCGCAGGACTGCCTGGTCTCACCAGGCTCAGGCTGGCTAAATTCACCGCACGTGCAACTAGCAGGACATATCACATGATTGCAAGAAAATCCGACTTGCATTCTGATGTCAACATGCACCACTTCTCTTCTACTTGCTGCCTACACTTTATTCATACATTCCAAGCACGAAGGTTGGGCCTTAGGCCACATCCCTTGTGCTCAAGCCCATGAACCGGAACAGGCCACCAAGACAAACAAATGCAGGTGTTCAAAGCATGAGTTTGTGGCTGTAACTCCCCTCCGATTGGTTAGAGTGAAAGCATCGGACAGAAGCTGGAATAATCTGGGAAGGATGCAGCTGTGAAGCTTTAATGTGTTCTATCCGCCTGTAAGACGTAAGAGGAAAGACACATATCGTAACGTAAAGCCTTTTGCACAGATAGTTCACTATCGCCTGCTCTTCTCACATCACGAGACCGGATGGCAAACTACGCTGTAACTACGCTTTTGTTTTCGCATGTGCCACACAAATGTCGTCAGCATCGTTTGCTGACCTGCGCATAACATGCGAGCATTGCTTGCAGGACCACTAGGTTGAGCACCCAGAGCCTGCTTCCTGCGCATGAAGAGGACCGCAGTCGTCAGCACTGCAATAGAAGCTATGCTCATGAGAATGAGTGCCTCGTCAGGCATTACCCTCTTGAGTCAGTCAAATGTCAGGGTGCGGGATTTCTTGGTCAGCGACGTTTGATCTTGCTTTTGCAGCCTAAACACAATGATTCGCTGGTCCAAAAAAACTACATGGAATTTTCATGCACCATCAGCTTGCCTCAGCTACCAATGAGGTAGGCAGCTCGTTGTAGGGCTCCATCTTCGCATACGCAGGATGTCCCGAGCCTGTCTTTCAAAGGCAGCCAAGTCGGAGCCAACATTCGGATTCGCCAAGGTGATGACCGGCTTTGAAGAGTGCCTGGCAAGCGCAAACGGAGCGCATACACCAATTCAGGGAGCCGTATACGGTACGGAGGTGCCCGGAGGTGCCATGCAGAGAAGCCTCCAGCAGGGCCTGGGCAATCTGCGAACGTGGAGCTGGCTTTTGCGTCCAAATCCTGAGCTTCAGCTGTGGCACTGCGCATTCCCACTCCTGTCTTACTGGTAAGACTGCAACTCACATTGCGCACAGCCTTGTTCGAAAAGCATCTCAATACCTTCGACCACCTGATCGGCAGCGCTAGAAACTGCCTTCACCTCGACGAGACTCCAGGCCTCGCATGGCCTCGCAGCCTGCTTCAAGCGCTTGGCGGAGGAAGGCCGTCCGTCGAGGGATGTAGGCCTCCACTTTTACTTCGAACGCAGTGAACACCATCTTGACATGTAGGAATGTGTAGGAACCCCACGGCTTCCAAGACGACCGGTTTGCACCTGGACCCATGTCGAACGCTCCTACTACTGTTCTTCGACTCGGCACTCAACATTAACCACTCCTCGTCAACACTGAAGTATCGGGCAAAGTGAACTCTGTGCTCCCTGGCCTTCGTGGCTGGCACACAGCATGATCTACCGGGAATTGCAATCATGTCCCATGTGTGAACCAAGACTGTGGAGGGTACAAGGTGTTCACGACAACGTGCAGTTTATCAAGGCGCTGTAGGCTTGTGAGATCCACGCAGGCCTTTTACGCAAGCAGGCTGCTGTGCGACGCAAACCAACAACAATCAACAAAGCTTGCACCTCGAAGCCAAACTCCAAAGCAAGTTCTTCTGCGCGGCTGGCCTGAAGAGTCTGCAACAACACAGCTTATCCTCAAGAATATGTGCAAGCTGACCAAGACCCACTCAGTTCTGTTGAAGATCAGCACTCGCCTTGCACCCATCTGCCTCAGGCCCAGCATTCATCACAGTGACATCCCAGTAATTCCGACCAGTATCCGAGATATGGTCTTCATGGCATAGGCAGCTGCTCTCGCTGTGCCTCCAGCTCCGCAGAGCAGGCCTGAAACGCAATGCTATCATAAAACAGACTGGGATGCAACAAGCATAGAATCATGGTCCTCCTGTGCACTGCTGTTCCTTGAGTCCCGCACACGTCAAGTCATCAACTCTTCGACCTTGCGGTCATGCACGGCTGCACCACTGTGCTCACAAGTGCAGGCGCGGCACGGGCAGACCTCGAAGTCGTCTTTCCAACTGGTTCTTGATGCCAAGCCAGTCCTTGCACTTCTACACACCATGGCAGAATCTGCACTGTCCTAGTGAGTCCTACTGAATCCATCCGAGGAGGAGAACCGTATTATCCCCTTTGAACCGACTGCCACACTTGGTCACCTTAGGTAAAATCAGCTCATACAGTGCAAACACCATTCACATCACCAACAGGTACATGCATCTGCCAGCTAGACCAGGTCACTGTGTTTATGGCACCGATGGTGCTGGCAGCATCTGTCAACTCGTCCATGTACGCCTTTATGGACTCCTCAAAGTTCAAATTTGGCAAGTTGACGTTGATGTCAGCATCCCGAGCCTTGTGGGGAATGGTCACCTGTCCACATCCAAGATAAATAACTTAGCGCAACACGAACTTAACCCACCATGCACAAACAACAACTTTTGCAGTCCAGCATCGGAACCGCCACCGCAGGAGGGCTTTCGCAATGTAGCCACGACCTGGCGAACATGCTAGCCAGCAGCCTGCGAATTCATGATGCATTCTCTTACATGTCCTCTTCCACGCTCGGGGAATCAAACCGGTCATACACGTGCGGACCTGCCACCAGATTGACAAAAGCATGATCTATGTGCCAACCGCGACCAGGTGACCGAGCATCTGACTCAAATTCACTTTGAATCCGGTGCCATGGATGGTCGGTGATGGTGACATCGTAACAGGACTTCCTGGCAACAAGCAACGCGGAACATGAGCTAGCCGTGAGGTGCTACACACATGCCAAGCACTCCAAAAATGAAAAACTGTAACGATTCAGTCGCCATGGCTGCCATACCAAACTGACCTTAAAGCATGTGAGCGCAACGTGAACATGCCAAAATGCTGCCCAGCTCATGTTACTGAAAAGAAGGCGGATGAGATGACAATTTTCATTGTTGTTTGCGTGATGGTGTTGACACCAATGCGCACATAACCCTCTGAGGAACGGAGGGTAACCCGTCGCACTGCGGAGATTGTCGTAAATCGAATACACAAAGCCATGCCATCGACTACAAAATATGATTACCGACCACACATGTGGACTGATACCTCTTATTCGAATGGCGAAGTGATGTGCCTAGCGGATGAGGGGTCCAAAAAAATGAAGAAAAAAAATGTTCTGGGCAGCCTTGTACTATACTGCTCTATGTCACTTTGACGGGTTCTCACAAGTTCTTGCAGATAAACCATGTATATATTGGGTAACTCTCAAGAGCTGGCTGGGTGTTGGGATAAAACAGCTGACCATGTACTGCGATATTTTCAGGGAATAAAAAAAACACCAAAATAAGTGTCAAAAAACCAAATGAAGTTATGTAAGGGAACGTGGCAGCCGCTGTTGATGAGGATTACCTATCAAACATGACACCGGTTCATGTGTATTAGGAACAAAAGGGCATTGGGAAGGCCATGAAAACCCCTGAGGACTGCGGCACTTCTTGATGCGAATTCACTACTAGACATTTTCTAAGTTCATAATTAAAAAGAACAAGGGGTTGGGGGGCCCCGCTTGCAAATCATTCAGGAATGTTTCTTGATGAAGATCCACTATCAGGCATGATACGGGCTCATATGCAAAAAGAGTAGGCGGGTTGGGGGCGGGGAGCTCCGCCTTGTTTGGGAACCATGGAGGACTGTGGCAATTGCTGATGAGGATTCACTATGAAACATGATATGGGTCATGTTTACAAAGAGCAAAGGGGTTTGAGGGGCGCAGCCCTTTGGTTTCGCAAGCCATTGGGAAATGTGGTAGTTGTCGGTGATGACTCACAACGAGACAATCCATGCTTTCATGGAACATGATGAAAACGAGGGGAAGCTCATGAGATAATGAAATAATCAAATATTCCGACATGATGAAATCCGAAGAAGCATGATGAAACGTCATTTTTGAACATTATGAATTTCCCCGACTCGTGATGAAAACCTGAACAATCAAAAACGTGAAAATGAAGAAACAACATGAAGCATGAGAAAAAATATGATTAGATTGGATGGAAAACCACGAACACCGATCAAATGATTCAATACCGAAAGAATTGAAATGATGAAAATGAATCATCTAGAAAAAAAGCAAAGATCATGAAAACGATGAAAATCCTATGAAAATTGGGCAAACATATTGGAAATGATAAAATGTTAAAATGATTCAAAACAAATGTTTAAATTCTGAACATTTTTGAAAATGTTGAACAAAAAGGTAACAAAAAATGAGACATGATGTAAAACAAGAAACATTATCTTTTACGAGGACAATGTGGAAACTTGGCGTTCTTAAACAAAAAAGTTCCTCCGCGTTTGCAAACAAAATTTAAAAATCCACAAGTTAGGTCTGTATTGCAATCATTCTTTTGTCTGTCACGAAACCTCCAACACATGCATGACACTACTCGTGCATGACAGTCAACTCGGCTCACGATCGACAAGTTCTGGATTGTTTCTTAGCTTTGGGTCCGATAACTCCTTCGTCTAGCAATTTAGCAAATCTCAAGCCCCGTAACATCAGTTTTTGCTGCTTTCTACAGCGACTGTGGGGGCTGCACATGGATCGGAAAGGCCAGCTGGCATAAGAGTACGCCAGCTTGCCATTGCAGCAAATTGACCAACACGCGCAGTCATTGCAGAACCTTGTTGCGCATTGGTCAAAACAAGTAAAACACCTGCACCAAGTCATTTCTGCAGCAAATTCGGACGAGCTTGCAAGAGCTCGGTTTAAGTGACTTCAAATTTCACCCTATGTTGTTTTGGAAGTTAACTTGCAGAGGCATCAGCGTGAACTGGCAAACTTTCTGCCTTACACTGTCGCATCGCTATCCGCCTGAAGTTTGAAGCTGACTTGGGGGTCTTGCACTCATTCAGACTTGCCTCCGCCACTCTCACAGATCTGCCTGCCCCTTTTTGTTGCTCTTTTATTTTGGAATATGACGCCACTGCAGGGCAATCCTCGAAGATCGAAACTCTCTGACAAGCTTGCCAAGAAAAAAAATTTTTGAAGACTCCAAAACCTTCGTAAGCGAAGGTGCGCCGCAAGAAAATGAAAAACTAGAAAAGTGACACGCAAGGCCAAATCGAAATACAAACAAGCCACAGTCGTAGTCTCAAGGAGCAGATGCGAAAGCCCATCGCCACAGCCACCGCAGCAGCAACAGCCTCTTCTGCAATTGGCCGCAGGCTTGCCCTGACTGGGTTTTCGACCATATCCGTTAAAAACAAAGATGTCCA